ATGTCAAACAGTGTCACGGCAGCTATTTACCCCTCCCCCCCCACACGTGGGCGAGTGGCGAGAAGCCAGCGACACGACAACTATTCCCCCCCTCCCCCTCCTTCCCGTCATGGTTGTTGTCGCCTGCACACGTGACCAGTGACTGCCAACAGTGCCACATGGCAGCTTGCTAAGGATCTTGAAGACCCCTTGGCTAGGGGGCTGCACTACAATGGCATCTAGGTGGCTGATCAAGATCTCAGCCAACCTCAGATCTGCGTAGCATCGTGTCGGGATTCCGTGGCGAACCCGAACATGTTCGCCTGAACGCGAACTAGCGCCCGAAACCCTCCGAACGTGAATATAAAAAAACATTAGAAAACAAAGTCTCAGAAAAACCTGAAAATAATATCTATCATGTACAACAACAATACAAGCAACTTTTGCCTTGAAGTCATGTTCAAATTCTTAGCCAAACCTAAGTTAAAAAAAAAAAACCGAAAAAAACAACAACATAATTTCATTTTTTTTTTATCTGTGTTAAACTCTGGGCCGCCCGACGGCCCAGCCTCCGTCCGGCTGGGGTCCCGGGCGGCCCGGCCGGTTGGGTCCCCCGGTTTGACGCCGGGCGGGCCCAGCGCATTTTTGCGCGGGGGGGCGGGGAGACCTTTTTCGCTGCTTTTTCGCGTTTGGGAGCCTCCCTGCCCCCCCGCGCAAATTATTCCGCCGATTCCACATTTGGTCGGGCGGCCTTCGAATTCGAACGTGAGTTCGTGCTGCCCGCCGAAGAGGTTCTCGTCGCTGCCTGCCGAAGAGGTTCCTGTCGCTGCCCGCCTTCGCCGAGTTGCCCGTCGTTAATGCCCGTCGTCACTGCCCGCCGCTGCTGCCCGTCGTCGCTGCCCGTCGTTAATGTCCGTCGTCACTGCCCGCCGCTGCTGCCCGTCGTCGCTGCCCGTTTCCGAGCTCGTCATCGCTGGCCGCCGTCGGAAAGCTGCCCCGTCGTTGTCGATACGGTACCGTTGCGCAAAGTGCCACGTGTCACTCTCTTTTTCTCTCTCTCTCTCTCTCTCTCTCTCTCTCTCTCTCTCTCTCTCTCTCTCTC